ACACTTTCGTCAGATGGCAGTTGAAGAGAAATTTGGAACCCGAGCTTGTCCCTGCCACAGAGTTTTGCAGAACCTCATAAACGCCAGCCTCTGAGGGTCCACATATGCAAAGGAGGAAAACCCCATTGCCATCTTTATTTCTACCAGTGATGAATACAAGACCCTGCAGAAAGATTATCCAAGATTATTTTTTTCTCATTTTTCAGGCTGACATTCACCAAATATCAGTTTCCCTTTCCTTTGAGCTGAAAGCAGCATGCCAGATGCATGCACCAAATAGGTTATACCATAATTCAGAAGCTGGCCAACGAACAGCTATGGGCCTATGAACAGCTGCTTGTTTTGGAAATAAAGTTTTATCAGAAGACAGCCCCATCCATTCTTTTAAGTATGGCCTATGGCTGCTTTTGCAGTACAACAGCAAAGTTGAGTGATTATGACAAAAACCAAAAGCACCCAAGCCTGAAATGATGCCCCATAAGAAGATGTTTATGAACTCTTGCCATTTGTGAACACAATCATCCCTTTTATTATTGGATATGATCTTTCTAGCTTCTCTAACATTATCATTTTAAGCAAGTAAAACCTCTCATTTGGCCATATTCCTGCATATAAGACCAAGTGTTATACTTAGGAAAAGAGTCCAGTAAGAAAATAAATAATGCAGGTCTGGAAGTGATTTACAGTCATCTCCTAGGTCACTGGGGTTTTAGCAGAGTCTGCCAAAAGTTGTGGTCAATATGTGAGATTGCATTTTTTTCACATATAAATAAATACAGGTAATTATAATATCTAATTCAAAACTGAAATGTAATTCAGAAGAAGAACAAGAAAAAAAAAAGAAAGAAAACCTTTTCTTCCCCTGTTTTAAGTTTAGATGAGCCAAGTCAAACTTCCTCTCCGGCTGAAAGATGTTGGTAGAACTCACATTGCAGTGAATGTTGTTACAGCTGAGGGAGAAAGGACCCTAAACTGTGTTTCCAGAGGTCAGCCTGAAGCACCCTCAAGTCCTGTGTTGGGGAGATAACTACTATTCAGTAAATAAGATGGGGCTCCAAATTTGCCTTGAAAATGGAGCTGATTGTATATTTCATTGATGTTTTTACTCTTTGATTCTCTTTCCCTCTTAGAGAAGGAGGGGAAAAGTCATTTAGGTTTAGAAAGCTCCCCAGGGTGGCTGGAAGGTGACTTCCTTTAAACTATCTGGGTGGTAGCAGTCCTGCCTGCAGTTAAAATTGTGGCAGTTGGCAGGAGGGAGTCACTGATCAATTAACCTTTGGAACTTTGTGAGAACGTCAGGATACTGTTGCCCCAACTGAGCATTTCTAGTTGCTTCTTTAGAAGCTGCTTCGGGAGTTTTTGTCTTGGTGTAGGAAGAGCAAGATGATCACCTCTTTTAAATTTTTCTGGGGCTCCCTGATTGCCCCTGGATCAAAACCCACCAGAGAGGTGCATAGTGAGCATAACAATCCCTGCAGGGGAGCTGGGCCTCCAGCCCTTGTCAAGAGGAGTCATCTAGGACGAACCTGGCATCCTGGACACGGTCCAGAGTAAAAACAGCCCTTAAGGCAGCAGTCAATAAACTCCCAGGGTCTGGTAATGTTTTTAGTGTGTGTGTGTGTGTGTGTGTGTGTGTGTGTGTGTGTGTGTGTGTATGCGCGTGCACACGCACACACAAAATGCCAAATGCATCAAAAACATCACCACAGAACCCTCAGGAGAACAACGAGAAAGCCATTGACTGCAGTATGTCAGCCTGGGCGTCTGGGCAATTAGAGACAGAAAGTTTCAACTTCATTAATATTCAACAAGAATCAATAAAAGTGCTTTGGGGAAGTTCCCATCTAGAACTTCCAGCCCATTCCACAGTTACTTTCTTTCCAAAACATTTGATAGGAAAGCCTTCCTCTTCCTTTCCAAAGAATGTTGGATGTGTGCTGGGTTTTCCATATCAACAGTAGAAAACAATAATTTTTCTACTCGTTTATTAGCTGAGATAGGTATTAACATTGGAGACTGAGAACATACTCTTACAGTATTTAAATTAACAATGATAATTCATAATTGACTGAAGTAAGTCAATTTTTTGAAGTTAGGAAAAGAGCAGTTCAAAGTTTTTGAGCACCTTTTCTAACTTGAAAGGTTTTTGATACATGTTTTCTGCTATCTTACTTCAATTTGGACATACAACTTTGTAAAATGAGCAGGGTATGATTTATTTTACAGCAAACTGCGACAGGTACTATTTGTTTCACAGCCAGTGAGGCTCAGAGTGATTAGATGACTTATTAAAGTTGCACTGTTTACTTGTTAACCATGTGTATGGTATATTATTAATCTATGTTGTGAAGTATTTCCCAAACCAGAACCTTAGAAAAATTTTAAAAATTCCTCATTGTCTCATGATTTTAAAAAATTAAGGCTTAACCAAACAAGGGGAAAGCATGATTCGGCAGGAAAGTGCAGGTCTGATTGTCAGATAGATCTACATAACTCCCACGTGCTTCAGGAATGTTACCTGGGCTGCTGAGCTTCATTTTCTCATCCATAAAATGGGCATAATAATATCCACCATGCAAGATTGTTGTAAGAATTATAGATGAAATCATAGGGGTGAAGGGAAACCCTACCTTCTCCTCCTGAAGTTTAGCTGGAATGAATTAACAGTAAACAGACTGACAGAGGAAAAAGGCATGCAGATTTATTTAAGGTGCCTGGGGAAAATCACAGAGAAGTGAGAACCTAAGTTACATACCCTTCTTTACAGGGGTGGGAGAATGTAGGTAACTTTGAGGGGTGGTAAACAATTTTAGGGAAGAACAGGACCCAGAAGACAAAAGAAATTTGCTTGTTACTGATTCCTTTTGAAATTTGCCTCAGACAGACAATCTCTTGTGACAAAGTCCATCCAGGTATGGTCACATTCCTGAGTCTGTATTTTCTGCCACAGATAATGAGATTGCAGGGAGAAGAAGAATGACAATTGTGTTCTCTTTAGCAGTAGGTTTGGTCTTTAGGCAAATAAGAGAATAACAGAGTAAAACCTTTTCCAGAATGCACTGATCTTCAATGGCCTTTAATTTAAAATAACCACGGGTTGGGGTTGTGGCTCAGTGGTACAGTGCTTGCCTAGCATGTGTGAGGCATTGCGTTCGATCCTCAGCATCACATAAAAAAATAAATGAAATTATTGTGTTCATCTACAACTAAAAATATTATAAAATAAAATAACCAGCATACCAGAGTCCTGCATTTTGGGGTGAAATTAATCACTCTTTTCTCATTTTTGAAGACCTGGGGCTATTTCTATTGATTTGTAGTTGATTATTTATAAGAAAAATGTTAACCTTGCCAAGAGACCCTGCCACTTAAATCAATTCCACCAGGCACAAACTAGAGAGAAATAACTGTAAGAATTAGTAAAACCATGCCCCGTGATTTCTTTAAACTAAGTATATAGGGTATTCAAAAAGAGGAAGAGAATCAGGTCACTGACATTTGAGAATATGCAATATTCTTTCATGTACCAAATATTTACTGTGCAACTACTACATGTGTCAGGCTTTGTTAGATGCAAAGATATTACAGTGAAGAAAATACACTTTGGTGGAGCTCATTTGTGGAATGTTTCTTGAAGAGTGCATTTCCTGAAATCTTCTCATCTATCATCTCAAAAACTCTGTGATGTGAAAAGTATTTATATATATATATTTTTCAAGATAAGAAAACTGAGCCTTAAATGGGCTGATTGGCTCAACCAAGAACAGTCGTCAGCAAGCAGTTCAGTGCTTGTGACTCCAGACTACCGGGTTCCAAAGCCCACATGTTTCACTGTCTTAATAATAAGATAAAATCTCAAGTACAGGGAGCCTTTACTTTGCATAGCCATGCAGTACTGGTAAAACATACCATGCAGTCAAAAACCTTGCAAAGTGATCTCAATGATCACTGGGAAAAATTACTACTCTTTCATAACCTTTAGAAATTGTTGTCAAAATATTAAAAACTCTCAACGGGTTTTAAGTGTATAGGGAAAAGGAAAAATGGTAAAACAAATATTTATTTAGCATATTATAATTTAACAGATCAGAAATAAGGTTGAGATTCCAGCGGCTTGAGAGGCTAGCACAGGAAAATTGCAAGTTCAAAGCCGGTCTCAGCAACTTGGCAAGGCCTTTAGCCAGACTCTATCTCAAAAATAAAATATAAAAAAGAGGGGAAGTGGCTTAGTGGTTGAGTGTCCCTGGACTCCATCCCTGGTACCAAAAAAAAAAAAAAAAGGTTGAGAATTAAAGTGTTTTATTTCTTTGTAAAAACTTATCAAGAGTACTATAAGCAGTGTGTTCTGTGCTCTTTTATGTGATGTTCAGTCACATGTGGCCACAAGAAGAGAGTCTCAATAGAAGAAAGTGTCCTGGAGAGAGGACATGAGCGCGGGTGGGGGGGGTGGGCAGAAGACCAGGGAAGATTTAGGCTAAAGCCTTTGTTGGGGTTTCTGAGGGAAGTAGAAGGAGGAGAGGGTGAAAAGTCCAGGGCTGGTTAGTTTGAATAATTGCAGCAGATATAATCTCTAGTTGCCTGATACCTGGCCTCAGGAGGATTAAGGCAGAGCACTATTGCCTCCTGGGGTGCATGGGCCACGTAGAGGAAGTACTGGTCTGGACTGGACTGGTAATTTCCACATCAAAGGCGTGCTTCTCCCTGGGTCCTCTGCTATCTGTCAGAATTGTCTAGCCCCTAGAGACACAACCTCTCCTGAGTCAGAAAGGTTTTGAAAATGTTGACACATCATAATATATGAAAAATGTGAAAAAATACACAGCACTTGTCTTGATGTCATATAAGTCACAAGAATGAGCAGGTATTTTCTCTATGCTTTGATAAATTGTCAACCTCCTTTCTAAAGCTGTGTTAGTATTTTAGTCAGCTTTTTCATTGCTGTGACTAAAAGACCTGACAAGAACAATTTTAGAGGAGGAAAAGTTTATCTGAGGGCTCACAGTTTCAGAGGTCTTGATCCATAGTCAGCAGGCTCCGTTCATTGGAGCTCTGGGTCAGGCAGAACATCATGGCGGAAGAGTGTGGTGGAGGGAAGTGGCTCACATGATGATCAGAGAGCAGAGAGAGAGACTTCACTCACCAGATACAAAATATATACCCCAAAGGCACAACCCCAATACCCACTTCCTCCAGCCACACCCTACCTGCCTTCAGTTACCACTCAGTTAATCCCAACAGGGGATTAATTCACAGATTGGGTTAAGACTCTCATAACCCAGTCATTTCTCCTCTAAACCTTCTTGCATTGTCTCATACATGAGCTTCTGGGGGACACCTCATATCCAAACTATAACAGTCAGCTTCCAACATTTTATCCTTTGTGCTTTCAGTACTGTAAAATATTTCTGAGATTCCCATTAATGTGATATCTTGTTGGCGTCACTTTCTCTGGGACATCTTTCTTCTTTACATAGCTTTCCTTGTTACACCAGTAAATTCAACTTTGCTCGGCTCCTTTGGTTGTTTAGGTAGTCTGGAATGGCTAAGCTTCAACCTTTCCCTGCTCAACTGTGTCTTCAAATCTTCATTTATCTTCAATTTGAATTTCATTGCCTGTGTTCTCATTTTTAAAATTTATTTGTTTCACTTTAATTTCATTGGTTGATTCCCTTCATTTATTATCCTTATTGTAAAATGTCACGTAAGCTATCGCTGGTAGAGAAGTCATACTTTGCTGTCTGTACGTGAACTGAATGACAGACAGATGCATAGTGACCCATCATTGAGAGACTTTGAAGGAAGTGGCGTGGTTGCTCATTAGCTGATCATGATGCCTATACTTGCAAAGTGATTTGTGTACTGAAGAGCTGGCAGCCAAGTTCATGTTTCATGCAAGTACTCAGAGTTCATAAACCATAGTGACTGAAACCTGAACCACATTGCTTCTATTTAACTAAACTAACTCAATCATCATGACTGAAATTGGTGCACATTGAAATCCTGCCAAGGGAGGGCTACCTGCTTCTTAGTACCGAATCTTGTGTAACTGCAACAGTGAAAAGGTAGCACATTTTTAAAGAAAGCAAAACTGATTTTATTTTGCCAAGTTGTTTTTTTCCGTTGTATAAAATTGCAGGGTGTGGCCACACAGCACTATTGTTAATCATCCAGTTGAAAACCCAGCCCACACATCTCTCTTCACCCAATGGACCTGCTCTTTTGGGATAATTACACCTAGTTCACAAAGCAATAGTGAAGATATTTCCTGTCTTCATGAAAAAAATGCTTCTATCTTCTCACAGCAGGGAGGAAAAGGAAAGAGAATGCTTATCCATCACAACAGGATACAGAGCTATGCAGCTAGGTCCTGCCCTGTCGTTCTGATTTAATGTGCAGTAGGAATCCAGGCAGAAGTCTAAGCAATATACCATATGTGCAGGCCCCAAGAGAAATCAGAACAAGCCTAAAGGAAGCTAGGCACAGGAGCAAACCCCAAAGACAACCTGTATTCTTTGCCACAACATTCTGTGTTCTTGTGACCTGACTTTCATGGGTTTCTGTATACATATATCGTGTGTATGGCAGGGGGCTGCTCATGGAGGTGCAGAAGTCTGCGTTTGATTCATCATGGTGCAGATGCTATTGTGAAAGTGAGAAAAGAAGCCGTGGGAGGAGGTGTGTGGAAAGGGAAGGGTGAGTGCTGACAGGTTCATTCAAAGTGCATACTAAGATCATTTGATCCATCAGAAGTGCAAGAAGGGCATGTCTTAGTTTGGGTTTCCCAGAGGCTGATCTTGAACACAAGTAGTCGATTTGTGTGTGTAGTAAACGCAGGAAGACCAGGAAAAGGGGTGGAGAGCCATGGAAGGCAAAGAAGCAATATAGTATAAGTGGATGAAAGGCTACTAATGTGGACCATTGCTGCTCAGTCACCTTGGAGACCTCTGTAGGGTGATGTAGAACCCACTTCTGAGGGTCTCACCCAAATGATGAGAAAGCTGAGATATTTACTTATCAAATCTCATCCTAGTTGCTGACTGCTTGCTGTCTATTAATATCCCAGAACTTGTGACCAACCCTACATGTAGAGCACACCCTCAGGAGGCCAGGGGAAGGCTAGAGGCAGACAGACATTCTTGAAGTTCTAAGCCATCTGGAACATCCAAAATGGGGCATACCAATGGGTAAGGCCAGTGCATCACTAATGTCTGCTACTGGGTTCAAAATACCATCTGAGCACTGTTCCAAGCACTTCAGATGTAGGTTTTTAAGGCTTACCATATAGTTATAGAATAGCTTCACCTTTAGGATAATAGAAGAACATTGATTGGAGCCAGATGCTTTATGTGAGCAGGGTCCCCAAAGGCACAAGGTATCAGCCAACTCTTCTTACTTAAGCCACTCTTCTTGGGAGTCTTATCATTTCAATGGCCAAATCTGTATCCTAATGAAGGGTATGATGCTGGAATTTCAGTTACAGCTCTGAAACCAAACACAGAAGAGGATGCATGATCCCAGCCCTGCTGCAACACTGAGACCTCCTGCAGGAGGTGCTGGATCAGCACCTGTGGACCTCAGCCCACTCCTTTCATGCACATTTCTTCCCTTGCTTTGACCAAAGGCAGACTCAGCCTCTTCTAGCATTTCTTTTCCTTGTGGAGGGAGCTCATGCAAGAGGCAACATGATTGTGTCCTCTTGGGCTCCTCTACGAGTCACTGCTTGATTTCAAGTCTGCCTCGCCAAACCAGTCCTGAGGTCTGGTGCCCAGAGCTGTCAGCAAAACACCCACTCCCTATTTGTGTTGGCTTGTGTCACCATGCCACGCTGGAGGTGTCGGCTAAAGCTGTTTACTGGCTTCATTTAAAAACACCTTGAGGTGTTCTTAAAATTCTGCTTTGAACAGCAATATGGGCAGGAATGGCAATGAGGCAAGAAAGCAAAGGAGATAAATAGAACATAACTAAACAAAATTGTCATGAAATCACATGGAATAGCTTGAAGAAACTTTTTTAAAAAGTAGTATGTTATTTAAATCCAATATCACATACATATATGTAGACATCTATACACACACATATTTATAGTGCAAACATACATGTAGAAATTCAGGAGATCTTATTGTTTGTATGGAGTTCGTCCATCCATGCCACAGAGGTTAGGCCACATCCAGACTAAGTCCAAGTCTGAAATGTGTTAGCTGAGGCTAAACGGAAAAACCAAATGTAGTAGAATTAAATATTGGCTTAATATGCATGAAAAAATAATGGCACTAAAATCAGACTTCAATTGCAAAAATTACCATAGGAGATTCCTTGGTGACTTTTGCAGGGTCAGGGACTTTCTGATGGTGAGACATGAGTAGAAGCAAATTATAGAAAGCAAAGGGCTAAAATCAGTTTACACATAATCACCAACTGCCTAAATCAAACGAAAACCCATTAGGAAGCCACTTATCCAAATCCAGAAAACAAAGGCTCAAAGAGGAGCCCATCAGAGAGCCAATCAGAGGCCCACTCAGGATTAGAACCCATTCTCCTATCTTCAGATCGCCACAAAACCTCACAGTTCCCTGTTTTAGTATTCTTATCTTATCCTGAAGCACTGCAACTCTGTATTAGAGAGGAACTCCTAAGACTTACAACCCCTCTCTTTTCATCATCCTAGAGTCATGGCACCCAGCCACCTCCTTTCCCACACCTGACTCACCATGTCTGGTTGCCTGTGTTAGCTCCAATGCAGAGGTAGTCAGTCAGAAAGCTGAGTGAAGAGGGAAGTCAGAAAGTTAGGAGAAGACTGGGTGAACAACTCTTTGCAAGTGAGGAACCCAAGTCACTGTGACAGAATGCCAGCACCACCATGCTTCCACAGCCCAAGAATCACATCCAGGCCTCAATATCTCCACTTCCCATGGGATGATACGCAGTCTCTGTCACATCATGAACTCTGAACGTGGTAAAACTCAACTTCTATTTTCTTTCTCCCCAAAGCTGAATGGCTTTAAAAAAATGTTTCTAAAATGTATCCCAAAGTCAGCTTGTGAATCAAGGTATAAGAGGACTCTCTGGTTTTTACTATCTCTATGGGAGAGGAGCTTCAGCCCCCATATAGGCACAAATTCCCTTTGCATTAGAGTGCAGTATTGATGGTGAATGTGTTCCTTTCACCTGGGAAAGAAAGACCTCATTGCTGACTGGGCTGGGAAGGGAGAGGGCAGAAGTGTGCCGGTCCTTGAAGTATGCTCATGTCCCTATTACATATCTATTCCCAACCCACACCCAGCAGCACTTCTTAATGTAACATTTAATTATTGCTTCAATAGTTATTTCAGCTCCAAAAAACACCAAGAAGACTGTGATCATGATTGCATTTTGATGATGGTTCTTAGTTTATAACCTTAAAATATAATCATATAGAAGTAGATGCCTCAAAAAATAAGAAGTGGCCTGGTGTTGTGGTGCATGCCTATAATCCCAGTGGCTCAGGAGGCTGAGACAGGTGGATCATGAGTTCAAAGCCAGCCTCAGCAATGGTGAGGCACTGAGAAACTCAGTGAGACCATGTCTCGAAATAAAATACAAAAAAGACTGGGGATGTGGCTCAGTGCCCCTGAGTGCCCCTGAGTTCAATCCCAAGGACCAAAAAAAAGTGGAAAAAATTCACATGCTTTACATTAGCATTGGTCTTTGTCTAATTTTGATTAATATAAATATATCCCAAAGCCCCCTTTTTTTAATGTGGTGCTGGGATTCAACCCAGTGCCTCACACATGCTTGGCAAGTGCTATACCACTGAGCCACAGCCCAATCCCCACAAAGCACTTCTTCAAGGGAAATAAGACTTGAGAAATGTTTAAGGCACCATGCATACCTAAATCATCTGCTTCTCAACTATGTGTCATTTAGCTGATATTAGTTAACCCAATCACATAACTAATGGACCGACAAGTTTGGAAGGAAAACCTAATTGATATTATATCTATGCAAGTCTGAATTTCAGTTGTTATTATTAAAAAGAGAAGATTCAAGAGAAAGGAAAAAGGAAAGAAGTGGGGAGGAAGAAAGGAGGAAAAGAAGAAAGGAAGAAAGTGTTTGGGGAGGTTGCCATGTAGCAGGCACTGTCGTAAGTGCTTCATATGTGATTTATTTTAGCATCAAAACTATCACCCTTGACAAAGATGGGGTACTCGGTTTCTGGCATGGTTTGGTAACCAGCTCCAGGCTATAGAACTGCTTAAGTGGCAGAGTTAGAATTGACTAAAAAAAATTTGACTCCAGATTGTGTGGTCTTAACCGGTATTCCATATTGCCTCTTAATGCCTAGAACACAAGAGAAATTCTTGAAATAAGTGCAACATTTTTCTGATTCATTCATTCATTTAATATATATTTAGTGATGGTGCATCTGCACCAGAAAATATTTATTAGTATTAGGAATTGAAAATGCAGACAGTTGAAAACTAACTAGGTTCATGCTCTCTGACACTTTCTAATCTAGACAGGAATACACACACACACACACACACACACATATATATATACACACCCACATATTGTATATAACTACATGTATATATACATACACACATATATAATGTTATATATTATTATAACATAATATTAAATTAATTTATAATTAATTCAAATATATAATCAGTTTAAATTATATTGATGCAATTAATATAACTATGTTATATATAAAATATTATATATTATTTTAAGCGAATATGAGCTCACCGAAGGGTCATAAAAATGTACTCTGCTAAGTTCCAAACAAAGAATCCTAAGAGTTCCAGAGCTGGAAGAACCAGAGGTATGAAGCTAAGAGGTCTTTTCTACTCAAGAAGGACAAACTGATTAACTGGATCATTGGCCAAACGTCCCTGTTGGGGCTGAGAGCGAGGGCTTCCCTCCAAGTCAGGGCAGAGCAGATCACTTGCCCTGGGCTGCTGAGCTGGAGTAAGCAGACAGGAATCTGTGTCTCTGACACAGATACTTTGGTAAGGACAATTGAGCCTGAAGGCAGGGAAGGAACAGAGCGTAGGACTGCAGGAATACTGTTTGGGGAATTCTCAAGACCCCCCAAGAGCTTTGCCTTGTGTCAGTGATGATCATTGCTTAGTAATAAGAATAACAAATCTCAAATATCCAAGACTGGGAGGAGACTAGAGCTCTGAAAAGAACTCATGTCCTGGGAGCTCCTGAGTCTCACCCCTGGAGTTCCTTTTCATCTTCCCCTGCAGTCTTTCATTTTGATTTCTGCTGCATCTGTTGTGCTGGCTCAAAAAAAGCATTAACATTCCTGTCCAAGCCTTAACAAAACCCCTTTCCCTTGAGATATTTGTTGAACAGGATTGCCTGGCTATGTTTATTTAAACATATTTGCCACATGATTAATGAGCAACATAAAGCACTTAAACTTGGGAGTCATTAAACGTGTAATTTACATTTCCCTTGTCTACCTGACCTTTTCTTAGCTCACAGGTATACCATTATACATCCTGTCTCTGTAGTACCTTTTATGGTTGTGTGAGTCGGAGGAGGCTAACTGCAAAACAAGTCCAAATTCCAGTGGCTTAACATAGCAAAAGTTTCCTTCTCATTCCTGTCGCATTCACATACAGGGCTGCAGCAAAGCTCTCTTCCAGGCAGTCATTCAGGGATCCAGGGATCTCCATCTTCTTCTTTGGAACCCTCTCCATGTGACCAGCAGAAGAGCAAAGGCAGCATGTAGAAGATGCCACAGCTCATTGGTAAGGTGCATTCACTCTGATGGGAATGAGTCTCATGGCTCACCCAGGTGCACAGGGATAGAGAAGTCATCCACTGGAAATCCAGGAAGTGGGGATCTGAGATGTCCATTTGGCCTCTACCACATGGAGGAGGATAACAAAGCACTTCTAACCTCCATGGAAATTATGGAAAATGTAAATATGTTGTATCATGTAATATACAGCAGGGAGGAAGGAATAAGCTTGGTTTCCTCGAATACTTATATCAGCAATATAGAGAATATAGTTCCCCTATCTGCAGAGCTTAGAAGGAACCCCCCAAATATGTAAGATAGCCATTTTAAAGGTTATTACCACATCATTTTCTCCCAACAATTAAATATTCAGGAAAGTTTAAGCATGGTACATTTCAATTTCTTTTTCTATGGTTTTAGAATTGTGAAACTTCTAAGCTTGCACAGTTTTTTTTTTTTTTTTCTTTAAATTGTGGTAAAATAGACATGATGGAAAATTTGCAATTTTAATGATTTTAAAGTGTGCAACACAATATTGTTTAGTACATTCGCATTGGTGTGCAATAAGCCTCCAGAATACTTTCCATAAACACAGAGTAGTAAGTTAGTACTAAAGAAATCTAATAAAATCTAGGTTGCAATTCCCCACATAATGAACAATTACAAATATTCCCTTAGCATTCTGTGACAGCAATGATTATTTTGGGTTAAGACTGATTTGTCAGTATGTCCATCATCAGCAAGGAATGTCATTTAATTTTTTGCTTGTCTGGTTTTTAATTCAGGTAAAATATACATAACAAACTGGAGGTGGAGATGGAACCCCCGCTGGCCTTGAGCATGCTAAGCATGGGCTCTACCACTGAGCCACATTCTCCATCCCATCTTAACCATTTTAAAGTGTATAGTTAAGAACTTTTAAGCATATTAACATTGCTAAGCAAAAATCTCCAGGACTTTTTCATCTAGCAAAATGGAAACTATATCTTTTAAACAACAATTCCTGTCTGGGGCAACTGAGCATCTTCTCTCAGCCTTGAGCCAAGGAGGTTTTGGTCTGGCATTGCATGCTGTTTTGTCGCCCCTTGCACTCGAGGGATTGCATGATGCACATGGCTTCTACCTTCCCTCAGCTAAGAAGTCTGCTTTCTCATAGCTCTGGACCTGGGTGTTACCCATTAGACTTGGACAGCCCACTCCCTGCCTTATTTGGTGAAGAACATTCCATTGAAATTCTTTTGAAGCCCCCTTGAATAAATAAAGGAAACACAGGTTCTCATGCTCTCTTTTTTTCCAGTGTGGAAGCTTCCTGCCCATAAGGTCAAAGAGCCATCCTGCCCCTGCTTTATAAAAAATTACTTCCATGTCGTGTGGTCTATTCGCAACCAGCCTATGTTTCCAAACACCCCACCCACAGTGGGACGTGGGCGGGAAATCCCCCCACCCCTGGCAACTACCATACTTTTTTCTGTCTCTATGAATTACACAACTATAGGTACTTCATAAACATAATAGTACAGTATTTATATTTTTGCAACTGGCTATTTCACTTAATATCTTTAAGTTTCATCCATGCTGTTAGCATGTGTCAGAATTTCCTTCCTCTTTTGGGATAGAGAATAATAATAATCACAATAATTATTCCATTGTGTGGATAAACCACATTTCATTTATCCATTCATCCGTCAATAGACACTTGGATTTCTTCTACCTTTTGGCTTTTGTGAATAATGCAAAGGCAGCCATTTTCATGTAAATATTAAAGATGGAAAATCATAACACACTCTGTGGTGTGTGCTTGTGTGTATGTGTGTGTATTAGCAGGTGCATGTGTGTTCTTGCCTCCATCTTCCTAGTCCCAGACTCAACATATGGCAGAAAGTTCATAACTGAACCTAGGGCACTTATTTCTATCATTTTCTTTATTGTCACCCATCTGGTTCTTAAGTAATGAAAACAACTCTTAAAATTAATATATTAAAATGATAATCTTCTCAATGAATATGGGACATTTCCAAGTAATGGACTTTAAGTTGGAATAGTTATTCTCAAGGTTAATCATTCAGTAAATTATTTATGTGCACTTACTTTGTATCAGATTCTACAGAAGTCAGGGTCCATAAAAGCAGTGCACAGTCCTCCCCTTGTCACAGTTGAAGTATAATATGTGAAATGCTCTAGTCTAACATTTCCAAACTGTGTTCTGAAGCACATTAGTGTTCGGTGTGATGCTAATAGATACTTCACACTATCAGTGTTCCATGATCAAGTAAGTCTGATAACCACTGTGACAATTCTTTTTTCATTTTTATAAAAATACAACATGATTGAGGCCCAAGGACAGGGATGGTGAGGTGACAGTGAAGTGTTCCTTTGTCGAGTGCAGTTTACTGGAGCATTTCAGCATTTAGTCAAGACAAGGAAGTCAATGATTCAGGAATGAAGGTATACAAAATGCACAACTTAGGCATCACAATTAAATTTTCTCTGTTGACAAGGTTTAAGATTTTTGTACATTATTAGGCTCACTGGATAAATTATACAATGTCTGTGTCTCATGAAGGTGGTTTTCTAGCCCATGAGGATATCAAAAGTTGCCTACCCCTCAAACATACCTCTTTCATCACTATCAATTTTAAGCCCAGGACTCAACAGACAGGGTCTCTCCTGGGCTCACAGAACTAACTAGACCTTCTTAGGTGGGCTTTTTTGGATCCCCTGACTTCTATCTCCATGGCTGGTACCACGTTCCACGAATAATCCTGAGACCAATAATGAAAGCCATCACTCAGAGGATGATGTGGAGGAGGGGGTTCCCCAGGCTGCAGAATGTAGTGATGCAGGAACAGCTGTCATTCAGGCAAAGCCTCCCATGATCTGAGTAAAAGTGCAAAACAGAGCTCCTGCCCCCATTTCCTAGAAGCTGGAGGGCCCTCCCTCCGTAGGACACATGCCCAAGCTATGGGATGGCCTTGACGTTGTCAGCATTGTAAAGGAGGCAAAGTTTAACTTCTACCCTCTTAGGGTCCTGGCTGAGTGTAAGAATTGAATTGACATAAGACAAATCAATAGGACAAAAACATACAGATCTAACATGTTTTCCGTGACACTATAAACTCATCCGGAAATGAAGACCTAAAGAAAAGGCAAACCTACATACTTTTGTATTAGACAGAACAAAGAGAGAGAAGAGTGCAAAAATAACAAAATTATACACAGAGGCTCAAGGAAGATAAGAATTGTTTTGAACAAGGTCTGTTTGTGCAGAATTCTCTTGGCTATGACTCCTCATCAAAAAATGTTTCCTTTCTCCTGGTACAGGGAGGGCACCTTTCACATGGGAGTCTTTATCTCCTGTTTTCAAGAAGAAAGGAGGAAGATTAGAAGGCCCTTCTTGCATCTGCTGTTTTTCAAGTTCCTTTAGCTCTATGTAATCCTTGTGTCAAAATGGCAGATTTGGGAATGGCACATTCTGCCACCCTTCACCAATTCAACCTCTTTGTCCCTCCTGTATCCTAAGCTCCCCACAAGTGCTGACCACAAACCTTGCCCTCACTGGCTCTTTCCCCACCATGCAAAGCAACTCAGGCAGAGATGCCCATGACCCCAGCCTGATCAGCCCCAGCATGTCTGAGTCTCAAGTTCATATACTTTTTCTTTTTAATCTTCCCTAGACTTCCTAAGTTCCCAGATGATGGACAAAGTGTGTAGGTTACTTGTCCATAGCCCAGAGCAAGTACTGCAGCTATTCATTGACTGATAATGACTGAATAAAAAACAAAATCAGCCAGCTGTCCACCTATACATGGTTTCCTTGGTGACTGGTAGTAGGACATGTAGTAGGAAGCTGCCATACAATTCCCCCAAAGAGTCACACAAGTAGGGGTTTTGTTTATTCTTACCCATTTCTGATCTTTCTAAATCTAACACTTCTACCTACAAATGAAATTAATATTCACGAGCCCTATAGGATGAAAACCCCAATCAGCCTCCACCAGAATGATTGCTTATGTTTATGCTTCATATTCAAATAATAATAATAATGAGATTCCTTTTGAGAAGGATGTCAGGTTGCTGCTCTGTATGCTGGGGCCCAACTGCAACGGAAACTTGATGATCAGACACCTGAGCACCTCACGGGGTTACCCTGAATGCATGTTTTCTTTTCATTTTCTTTGCTTGTTTTTCTATTCTTGCCTTTCATTTCACAGCTTTGCCAAACATTCAGGTCAAGGTCAGAGCAAGGGACTATCTCAGGGTTGGAGGAACTGAGTTAGCCACACAGGGCCTCTCTCCAGTGAAAACATTTAGCACACAGCCAAGGAGCCCATCTTTAGATTCCTGCAGAGAGAAAAGAAGAAAATCTCCCTTAAGAAAATGTCAGTTTTGCTTTGCTTCACTAGTCCCCAAGCCAATTTTATTTCAGGTTCCACAGAGGTTGTTCCCTATAGAGGGGAAAGACTGGGGGAAGCATCAGGAGACCTAACTTCTATTTCTAGCACTCACTGACATGTGACCTTATCCCCAGACACTTCTTCACTTTGCCCCACACCCATCGCCATGCTGGCTTTAAACCTCCTGCCATCTTTTTCCGATTGCAATGTTGTGTGTAAGACTCTGAGAGCTTACCCAAGTCTCAAAGGAAGTGGTCCTAACTCTTTGGAGCTACTAGTGCCAACCAGCTTAGAGGGGCCCCTCAAAAAGAGCCTCAAAAAGCTGTATTCCAAGATGTGTGACATGCAAAGACTAAACCTGACCGCTAAGGAGTGGGCACAGGGTGGTGGATCTTCCACAGGAAGCAGAAATCATTGGTTGCCAAGAGACATCCAAAAGCCCACAAACCTCACCTGTGAGAAGCCAGGGAGAGCTGCTCTGCCATCTACCCCACGTGCTAGGGGTTTATTCTTGTCCTCTAGGAGGCATCTGTGGTGCTGGAACTATAAGTTATTGAAGCCAATAAGCATAATTCACACAGTGAGGGAGAACAAACCACTTCCTGGAAACTCCCCCCCCCCCCCCCCCGTGCTTCATGAAGAGGAAAACCATCATGGGAAAGAAGGGATGTCCGAGGCAGCGTAGCCCTCAGAGGGTGAGCTTTGGAGGAGATCAAATCCTAACTCTAGATCCTGTGTAGCCTTGAGTAATTTACTTCATGTACCACTCTCAGTTTCTTCTATGCAATGGGGTTTCTAAGTGGACCTAATTCATCTTGTGAGTCTCAGCTGAGAAAATGCATGTACAGTGATCAGTAGTGTCCAAACATGCCAATTACTTTATGTATGTTATCCATTAACAACAACAAAAATAAGGCTCATGAAGAAAAATACATCTAAGCAGTTTATGAGTGATAAGCCCACGACACTTTGTGGCCCTGAAGTATTCTGATACATACATATTATTTTAACATCTATAACATTTTGCTGTATTGTTTACTTCTCCCACTATTATGAACTCCTTGCAGGATAGAGGAATTAATTCTTTCATTGTCATATTACAATGTCACTACTACTATCTGCTACCTGTAATATGTCATCTTTGTTGAGTAAATTTAAAAAGAAGTCATAAATTAATGAGCAAAGAAGTAAGCACATAAAAGAAAACTGTTAAAAGTAATATATTTTGCCTTAAGTTAAGACAATTGTTTTTTACATAAACTATTTCTAGAAAAATAGCATTTTACTTGTTTAATTTGAACTGTACCAACTTCCTCCCCTGATTCTCAAGAATGCCAAGTCACAGATTAGTTTCCCAAGAGTTACTTAGATGCTTAGTCAGCTTGGGTTGCTAGGAAAAAATACCAGAGACTGCTTAACCAACAGACATTTATTTATTATGGTTCTAGAGAATGGGAAGTCCAAGATCAGGATACCGATAGGTTTGGATCCTGAGGAGGGTACTGTTGCTGGCTTGTAAATAACTGCCTTTTACCTGTGTCTTTGCAAGGTAAGGAAAGAGAGATTTTATTTTCTCTTCCTCTTCTTAAAAGGACCTTAATCCTAGTATGTGTGTGTGTGGGAGGGGAGGGCACCTTCATGATCTCATCTAAATCTAATTACCTCCTGAAGGCCCCACTTCACAATACTATTGAGGTAGGGCAGAAGAAATAAAGATAAGTAGAAAGGAAACAATGGGAAGGAAAGAAGACACTGTAGCTGTAAATCTAAAAGCCCCATGATCAATCTTATGCCTTAGACCTGTTTTTCCTCCAGGTTACTTCCAAATTTCTGAGAAATCTGTTATGGTTTAGAAATGAGATGTCCCCAAAAGCTCAAGTGTGAGACAATGCAAGAAAGTTAGAAGTGAAATGATTGGGTTATGAGATCCTTAACTTAATCAGTGTGTTAATCCACTTGAATGAATTAGCTGGATGTTAATATAGGCTGGTAGGGTATAGTTGGAGGAGGTGGGTCACTAGGGGTGTGCCTTTAATGATTATATTTTGTCCTCATTGAGCTAAAGGCATGCCAATCAGGAAGTAGAGCTCTTTCTCTCTGCTTCCTGATTGGCATGCCCTTAGCTGCTTTTCTCTGCCACACCCTTCCACCACCATGTTCTGCCTCACCTCGGACCCAGAGCAATGAAATTGTGAACACCAAATTATTTTTTCTTCCTTTAAAATTGTTCTTGTTAAGTCTTTTTTGGTTATAGAAAAAAAGAAAAGCTGACTAAAACAATCTGCAAATCTTAGCATTACTGTAGATTTACCCATTTATGAAAATTGCCTCATTTTGATTAAGACTTATGTGCCGTTTGCCTATACAATATATTTTCAGATTAGACAAAACAAAGGATTTCATCTAATTAACTTTATCTAATATCTAAAGTATTTAAGAAACCTTTAATATAGGCACATTCCAATCGTGATCTAGATAGAAGAGATGATGTTAACCTGAAGCTCCTAGGGAGGATCAGACCACCATAAACAATTTGTGATCCATGATGAAAAGACTGAATTCAACATACCTTCCCAAACCTACCCCTCGCTAAGTTCCCTTTAAAAAAAGAAAGACCCCCCACAAGTGCTTCTCAATGTGCATTTTCACCTTTCACTTTCTAATAAAGCTCTTCTTTGGTAAAACTCAATATGTGATATGTCCTTAAATTCTTATTTTTTATAATGTTGAGTTTAATTTTTTAATCTTTACTTAATTAATTTATTTTTTTATGTGGTACTGAGGATTGAACCCAGTGCCTCACATGTCCTAGGCAAGTGCTCTATCACTGATTTGCAAACCCAACCCCTTTAAATTATTTTCTGTAACCTGTGGAGAGCGTGGAAAGTCCACATAGAGGTCTCCTCTGCCTCTGGAGAGACAGCCTCAAACCACTTACAGTGATGCCATCACATTGCATGTTAGGACTCTAACAAATGAATTCTGGAGAGATCAAACACTCAGTCCACAAGAAATGCTGAATGTATTAACACAGACCCTCAAACCATAGGGGAGTTTTGCTAGGATTAGTCCTTTCTGAATCCTGTTTTACCCTCCACATCTGGAAGCTCAGCATTACAGAGTATGAAAAGAAAAGGAAGCAACAACTACAGGAATGAGCATCTTCTTAGGGAAATCACAAGGTCTTTAAGGAGTGCACATTCTGTTTTCTGAAAGGAATGAAACAAGTCTGGCTTGGAGTGATCAGCCAGCTGTGGTTTCCTTTGATGACAGGGCTAGGGTTTAGTTTGTAGAATGTTCTCAACTACAGTAGATGAATTTTAAAACTAAGAAAATCACCTTCAGCAGCTTATCAACCACAGGCCATTATCTCAAATGGGAACTTATTCAAACCATTATTCAATTTTATTCAAATGAATTTGAGCTCCTAACAACGGCCCTGGCTACATCATTTTTAAAGCCTGGTATAAAGTGAAGATGCAGGCCCCTTTTAAAACATTAGTAAACATTTCAAGATGGTGACAAAACATTCAGCCAAGCATGGATCCCCTTCTGAGTACAGGTCTGTAAACCTGCCCTGCCTACTGATGACTATCTAGTAAGTCTAGTGCCAGGAAACCCCAACCGGTCCTTGGCCGTGCAGCTGCTGCAGCAGAAAAACAAAACAAAAACAAAAACAGACACTATAGGCACCAGGAGCAAGCCTCTCTCCCAAACTGCCACAGCTCCTTGTAGCATCTGTCAGATGACCAGTTTTCATTACTGTTTTTCCCTCAAGTTTTTGTCCACAAACAACTCAAGGCTTAAAACACACACACACACAAACAAACAACAACAAAAACCTACTAAAAACCCCATCCACTAGTGGACTACTGTATATTTGCAGACCTGCAGACTTGCTCTCTGACACTGCTGTTAACCTATGTGCCTGCGCTGCGCAGTGGGCAAGCAGAAATATCAAGCATCAAAGCCCAGGGAGCTAAATTCAAGGTCTTCAACGCCAGCGAAACCGTCCCGTCTGCAGACCCGCCCCGTAACCCCTGCCTCGCACAGGGAGTGGACCTAGTAAATTGCTTTCTGAATATTCCCTTCAAAATGGCAAAAACTGGAAATGGCTGCAACTCTCAAGAGAGAGAAAAGAGAAGCTGAAATGGGTGGCAGCAGGGGCGGAATCTCGTCCTCGCTGGTGGATAATGTGATAAGAAACCTGGATCCCAGCGGCCTCACAATGGCCTATTTATCCGGCTCTCACGCACCGCCAGCAGCCTGGGCTGGGAATCCCGGGGGTGGCAGCCGTCCCCGGAAAACGGCGGCGCTCCGGCACAGGAAAGCCAGCTGATAACTGATCTGCAGACAGCGCTTCTTCCTTCCTGGGAAGCAGCCACAAAGGCAGCCAGCTGACCCCGGCCCAGCGCTGCTCCCGGCCTGCGGAGGAGCGCCAACAGTGGGGGAGGGAGAGCCGCGGGGCGGGACGCGGGACAAGGCGGGGAAGCGCGGCCCCGGGGCTCCCTTTGGCAGAAGCATCCCGCCGTGTGGTAGCGCGGAGCCCACGCTGGCCAGGCTCGGCCCCCAGCGTCCCTCCCGCGGGCCCTTCCGGCCGAGGCTGCAAGGGAGTTTAGAGTGGGGACGCGAACCGGTTGGCACAGCCCTCCCGGACTGTCCCCTGGGGTGGCCCCTCCCTATGGCAAAATCAAAAAGAAACACAGACATTTGTGGCACCCTATTAGGCGCACACTATTGTGACTCGCGTTTCAGGCGCAAAGACTGCTCAACCCCCATTTGGCAGGGCGGCCCAGTAAAACACTTGAGTTCCTGAAATTTACCCATTAACTTCCCTGGCGACAGAGAACTTTAAGCTAGTCAGACTCTGTCTCTGCCTCTCCCTCTCTCATCTTCTTTTCTTATCATTTCTAAAAAGACAATGAGAAGAATTAGCAGGAGGTCATCTGTGGATTCTGAATGCCCCAGCACCCCAGGAAGCGCTGTTTTCTCAAAGTTGGCCCAAGAGCTGGTCCCTGCTGCTCTAAGACACTTGCTTTCACTTTTGCACTCCCAAACTGCTGGATTTGGAGTCCCCAGAGAGCCTTGGAAGAGCTGCCCATGGAAGGGAAGGTCTGGAAAGATCAGGCCACAGGAGAGGAAAACACAAGGAAAGGGAGGATGCACTGTGAACTCTGCCATTGGACTTTGCAGGGTGGAGTGGAGTCTCCAGGCCCCAGGTGGAGCTGGTCAGCTGGGAGTCAGGATGTCCTTGATCTGCTTTCCAAATTGTACACAGCTCCACAAGGAAAAAAAAAAAAAAAAAACAGGCGGGGCGTCTCAAAGCTTAGCTGAATGCTCTGCAGCAGGAGGCACTATCTATCATCAGCCCACTGACTTCCAGCCAGGGGTCCCAAAGGAGACCAAAGCTCTTCCCTCTAGGCATAATCATGGGCCCAACATTCCCATCTCCAAATTCCTCCTACTTAATGTTCTGCCAGTAGCAGCAGAGTCAGCCCTCCAGGCTTGAGCTGGGAAGGAATTTCTTCCAATTTACCTCCTGC